CAGAGGCAGAAAATTTAAACTACTTTCAGAAGTACCTATCTGATGGCTGAGTAGAGGAAAAATCCTAATTTTGAAATATGTCTCCTTAGCGTCGATTATTGGAGGGAAGTATTTCAAAATGTATTCTCCATCCTTAGAAAAAGGGACACAAGGAAAGATTTCAGGTTAGGCACACACATAATCATAGAGGTAATGATTTTGATAAAAATCAAGACTTTCGACTCCATATGTCAGGTATTTCAATGGACGTACTTCAAATACGTGTTTGCCATTTCGAAAAGAATATAAATGAAATAATCACTATCCAAGGTAATAAAGCGCCGAAAGCGCGACCATAGCGAGTTTGTTTGCCCTTCGGGCAAACAAACTCGCTAGTATTTAATGTTGAGCTTATGTGTCTTTCTAGCGTTTCTTCCAAATTGCAGCCTGACTCCAATTCCAGTTTTTTCGACTTGTAATCCTCTATCTTCATGCTTACCTTCAGATATCCTTCTTCAAAGATATTTTTTTCCATTTCCAGTTCGAGATTCGAAGTAACATCCCCCAGCCGAATTGAAAATCCCGAATCACATAATTATCTTGAACTGAGCCTTGATAATTTATTAAGGAAATTAAGTGCACTGGTCCTGTTTTTCTTTATAAGTCGATACAATAGACTCGTTTCCTTGTTTTCCGTGCCGATTACTAACCACCCAAAGAAGTAGTTGTTCTGTATTACAACTACGTATCCATGGTTTATGTTCCAGTCTTGTTTCTAGGATCGATTCTTGCTAATCAGTGTCACCGCTTCTGTATTAACACTGTTTATGCATGCACCAGATCCTACTCTACTTTCATATCCCACCTCAACTACCTCTTTTAGCAAAGCTTCTATTAACTGCTTCCCGGTAAACAGTTTGGAGGGTCTGAGTATCACAGGCTTTGCCTCAATTTTTCTTTCCAGATCGGACGCGCATTTACCAAAAGTTTCGTAACTAAAGAAAGTGTTTCTGGATGTTAATAAATAAGATGCTGTTACAAAATCCTGGGTGGCTGCAATGAGCGGCTCTCCGTTTCTTGGATTAACTAAATTAGATTTGACACACATCAACTCTGGGGCTTCAGCTCTAGATTCGTACGTTTGCAGCACGTGGACATTCATTTCGTCCCCGTCAAAGTCTGCATTGTAGGGCGTACAGCAACACACGTTGAACTTAAAAGTTTTTTTCTGAATAGACCTTTGCTCTGTGTGCCATGATGCTCATTCGATGGATACTTGGTTGACGATTGAAAAGGACAATGTCACCGTCTTGTAGGTGTCGTTCAACTATGTCTCCAATTCTGAAGTATTTTGACGTTTGTGTTCTGTTACAGTATTTTATGAACATATTTATTTCCTGTCCCGTTTTTCGTTCTTTCCTTCTGACGGGTTTTTCTCGTTTCCTATTCGCTAATTGTCCCTCTTCTAATTTGCCGTCTGCCAATTGACTTGCTGTTAGGTTATTATTAGTTGCTTCTTTTAAGGCGCTTCTTGCTACTTCTTTTAGTACATCATTAGCCAGCCCTTTTAAGCTCTCATTTGCCGTTGACTGTTCCACTGTCAATTCTCCCAAGCTATCATCGACTGTTAGCTGATCTGCAGTGCTATAACAAGGCTTTATAACATAATTTGCTCCGGGATAATTTACTCCATTTCTGATCAGCTTTCTAAGCCTTTCAATATTGAAGCCAGCTACCCTCTCGG